ATTGAAATTGAAATTGAAATTGAAATTTATTGTTGAAAACCCAACAACAAGGTACAAGAACTTAGCACCAACATTTTATACGAACAGCACAACACCGAAATCCGAAAATAAAAAGACCGGTATACAACAAGATACCTAGTAAAATAAAAATGAAATACGATATGAACAATACGGTGAAAGTAGATTAGAATACAAAGGAAGATGACTTACATATTTTTGGAAATATGAAGTAAAAATTTGCACAGTTTAATCATTATTAAAGTGATGGTGATGTAGCCAGGGGCTGTTGATGTTCTTGAGGTTCAGCCTGTTTGCACTGTCACTCGGAGAGGGACCGTCTGAAGTCACTCCCTCGCGGATGAATACAAAATGGCTAGGTCAAGGTTATAACGATTCACACAGGTCAAGTACGTCGTTGACCCGCGCTACATGAAGCCTGGGGAATCGGCGTTATTCGTGCGCCACTTAGCCATGCAAACGCTACATATTGACGTCTGGGACGGTGATTCGCTGCTTCTCATTGGCTCTTGTGCGGTTGAGTTGAAGGTATGTCATCACTCAATAACTAACTAAAAAGTTAATGAGTTAGTGATTAAGTTATAATAAACTAGGTACAACTAAAGAGCGTTCAATTCTGTGTTCATGTGTTAGTAAAGAAATTTGTGTGTTTATGGAGCTAATTAATGTAATGTAACTTAAATTTGCTTGTTTGTTATTGAACGAGGGATGGCGACCTTTCAGTAAAGTCTACAGATTCGCAGTGTTCATGGTAGCATAGTTCACATGCAAGCACATACGCACGCACGCACGCATGCATCCACGCAAGCATCTACGCACTTATGCATGCACGCACGAACACACGCACGCACGTACGCACGAACGCTCGCACGCACGCATGCAGGAAGGCACGCACGAACGCACACACGCTCGCACGCTCTCACCCACGCCCTCACGCACGCACGCACGAACGCACACCTCCCCCTCCTCCCACCTCACTCACCTCACCTCATCTCTCTCTCTCTCTCTCGCTCTCTCTCTCTTTCTCTCTTTCTCGCTCTCTCTCTCTTTCTCTCTTTCTCTCTCTCTCTCTCTCTCTCTCTCTCTCTCCCTCCCTCCCACCTCCCTCACCTCACCTCACCTTTCTCTCTCTCTC